TAGATCTTTATGTACCCCTAGCATTATCCTTCCTTTTTTTTTTCTTGGGGATCGGGGGTAGTGGATTTATGTGTGTGAGTACTCATTGGGGTTGCAGCAACTCATGCCAATTTTTATCTCCATTGTATTCCCCTTCTCTCTCTCTCTGTCTCTCTCCATAAATTTTTTTCATTTCTCTTCGTCTACATCTTCATTTCGATTCACTTTATATACCCAATTTTGAATTCAAGAATGGGAAGGAAACCATGCTGTCAAAAAGTAGGCTTAAAGAAGGGAGCATGGACTGCCGAAGAAGACGATAAGCTCAAAAACTTCATGCTCACAAATGGCCAATGTAGCTGGATAGCTCTCCCTAAACTTGCAGGTTCCCACAATTTTCATTGTGCAGTATCACACCGTGTCCGTTTTGTCCTCCTGGTGGTGGTGGGTGGAACTAGAAAAGGCCTTTTTGGCTAGTGTTTAAACTACATGATTTAAAAGCTTAATCTATTAGAGACGGAACGTGTCGCAACTTCAACAGCCTGGTAGTCTGTGTTTAAGAGAAGGAGAGGCGTCAAATCTCGTGTTTGTTTTTTCAGCCCTGAAATTGCTTTCTGGGCATTTAAATAATCTCCAATTTTATGAATCTTAAGAGCTGTGTACATGTATATTGTCTCTAATCCTCTGATAATAGAAAATCTTTAGGCTATTTCTTGTTTTCAAGAAATCAAATTTATATAATTAACATGCTTTGATAAGATTGCAGGACTGTTAAGGTGTGGAAAAAGCTGCAGATTGAGATGGACAAATTATCTTAGACCAGATTTGAAGAGGGGATTTCTATCTGAAGATGAAGAGAAGATAATTATTGACCTTCATGCTAAGCTTGGAAACAGGTCTCATTTTTGTACGATTCATTGTTGTTTGCATATCAAAGACTTGAATGAATGTAGAAAATGGAAGTAAATTGCTCGTTTGTTGTCCTAAACAGCGTTGTTCAGTGCTGCGGACCACATAAATTTGACAATTTTAGTGGACAATGGCTGTTTTGTAGATGGTCCAAGATTGCTTCTCATCTCCCCGGAAGAACTGATAATGATATAAAAAATCGCTGGAACACACGCATCAAGAAAAAGCTGAGGAACATGGGGATTGATCCTATGTCCCGCAACCCCTTGCGGCCTACAACCACCACTCCATCTCCGCTGCAAGAACATACACAAAATCCTGAGGCAGAACAAGAACCACCGTCAAAAGCGGATCAAAACAAAGACACTGAGACCTCAGTGCAATCCAACATTGCAGAGGGAAAAGATGAAGATAGAAATATGGCTTCAAGCCCATTAATGGAGGTTAGCAATGAGTTCGGAGTAGATGAAGTCCTATTAATTGAACCCCATGAAAATTCTTGTTCCTTCATCACAATCCCTTTCTTACATTCTTGAAGATTTTCAGTTTCTTCCAGCCTTTGATTTGTCTTAATGAGTATCTGAATAAGGTGGTTCTTTCCTATGTTTGAGATAGCTCGCTTGCTTGCACGTTACATACTTTATTCACAACAACTGCGGAAGTCAGTAGTCGAAAATTTTGGTATTATATTAAAGGAAAAATAGTTACTTATTACATCTTGGGTACAAAATTTGAATAGTATTGGAGAGAACTGAAGAGAGAAAAAAGAGTTTAAAATTCTGTTCATCATACTTACGAATTCTGCGCTCATGTTTTTCCAAGAGGATTTCGGATTTTTGTTTTCTTTTCTTTTTCTAATGGGAACGTAGATGGCTAATCTAGCCCTCCTATTTCTGCTATATTCCTTTTCAAAGTTTCTTTCTTTTTTCTTTCTATACAAGTCCATTTTGATTGATAACTTAATTTATATACAATTTGAATTGAAGATGGGAAGCCAAGAATGCTTTGAGAAAGGTGCTTCAAAGAAGGGATCATGGACTGCCGAGGAAGACAAAAAGCTCAGCAACTTCATTCTCAAAAATGGGCAATGCTGCTGGAAATATGTGCCTAAATTTGCAGGTCCATCCACAATTTCCAAATGCAGTCAGCATAGCATTTTACTTTGCCCTCGAATTTTCAGGGTATATTGCGCATTTAATACATTCATTAGATCGCCTTATTACTAATTCCATAACAAGGAAACCCTGTAGTGGCAAAATGGATGTGGTGGTGGCCATCATGTCTTGTGCCTTTCCCGTACAGAAAGAACCATTTGTTAAAAGTCATGTCCACTGGTTGATTTTGCTAATCTTTTCATTGAGTCATTGAGTGAATGAAACAAGCCTTGGCTCCACTTTTTTACAAAAAAAAATTTTAATTTTTGGCTATTTTAGGTGTTAAATAATTCAAATTTCAATAATGATATTGCTTTACTGACATTGCAGGACTGTCAAGATGTAGTAAAAGCTGTAGATTGAGATGGAAAAATTATCTTAGTCCAGACTTGAAAAGGGGATTTCTATCTGAAGATGAAGAGAAGATTGTTGTTGATCTTCATGCTAAGCTTGGAAATAGGTATCTTGTCTCTTATTTTGTACAGTATTATCTGTTCCTACACACCAAATATAATCCAGTAGTTTCTTTATTTTTCCTCCTAGTCCTCGGTGCAGTTTTTTGCGTTGCTAACCTAATAGTCTTTCTTTTCGATTTGATACTATCGAGTTTCAGGGTTTTATCTTAACTGTTCAACCTTTTAGGAAGAGTACTTGAATCCCTTGTGTTGACATTTTTCTGTCGTTGTGGTTTACAAATTGAAAGTCATTCCTAATGTTTTGCAGATGGTCCAAGATTGCTTCTCATCTTCCTGGAAGAACTGATAGTTGCGTAAAGAATCAATGGAACACACACATCAAGAAAAAGTTGATGAAAATGGGGATTGATCCCCTGACTCACAACCCACTGCCGCCACCGCTGGAAAATCAAGAACCATCGTCGGAGGTGGTGGATACTGAAATTTCAATGCAATCCACCATTACAGAGGACATAAGCATGATTGCAAGCCCATTTGAGGATTTGCAGTTTCCTCCAGATTTTATTGATTACAGTGAAATTATGAGTATTTTGTACGATGATTCAAGCAGTTAGGGATTTTATATGAATAAGCACACAGGTTCTCAAATTCCTCTTGTTTGAGATTATTAGACCACGAGCCTGAGAAATTCAGAGTCAATTTTCACAAATATTAACTTTTAAACACAACAAATGTACATAGTCACGGAAGTTGCTCAATTTTTATATGGATTATGCTAGATGTACACTCGATAATTTACACACGGGGTTACACCCCCTCACATGGTGGGAGGCCCACGAATATTTTATTGTGTGTGGGCCCCCCCTCCATGTGAGGGGAGTGTAATCCAATGCGTAAATGATTATGTACATCTAACATAATCCTTTTTATATATGTTACAAGAAATCGATCTCTCAATTCATTCTCGTACTAACAAAATGCGATCTAACGTGACATTAATGTTTAATGAAATGTTGAAGAATTTTGGTTAAATTTAAAAAAGAAAAAAAGAATTTACCGATAAAATGATCAAATGGTTTGGTAAAATTTGAATGAAAAATTAGTGAATAAAATATAATATGCACTATCCACGTGCACGTACCAATTGAAATAAAAAGGAAAAATAATTGAATGGATTGGTCCCAGATTCAGCTTGCAGGGACCATAGTCAGTCTAGCATCGTCAATATAGAGGTAACCAAATAAAATATAATGATGTACTTTCCACGTGCATTTTGTACTTGTCGCTACATTTCCGGTGAGCAGCTTTTCATTCTAGGGTCGTCAATATAGAGGTAACCAAATAAAATATAATTATATACTTTCCACGTGCATTTTGTACTTATGGCTACATTTTGTTAGTGTGAAATTGATCTCTTGCTCCCGATGATCAACTTTTCACTGTTGATGTGGCATATCAGCAGTGGGAAGTTTTATCCCGTTCACTGAAGACGGGAGATCGTGACTACTTGTTTGAGTCTCATTTTGGAAGAAAATGTATTTTGTAATAGAAGTTTTTGGAAGAATACGTGGTTATAAAATAAGAAAAAAAATTCGATTTATGTATAAAATTATTTTATTGGAAGATGGGTGTTTGAAAATATATTTTGAGAAAATGAGTTTTGAAAAAAAAAAAAATGGAACTCAAATAAGAGCTTAAGTTGTTATTTCATATTTGCATGGCACGTTTAGTACAATTGTCCAACTTGGCCCTACTTCGAAATGACTTAAAATGAGAGTGATCGAGTTGAAAGTAATTTGGAAGTTGTCCGATTCGATCTCAAATGTGGTCTCAAAAGGGCCTCAACGTGTTCGAGTTGGGCACTTATCGTCAAAAAATAAATTCAACCAGTCTCAAACAAAACCATAAATGATCAGTCTCAATCCTCGTCGTTATAATAAGATTCAATCTGAATATGATTGATAACAGCCGCACAGATTGCACAGCTAAATATGTGTACTGGTTTGGGTAAATTGTATCTGAGGTCACTGAGTTTTCTCCGTACTTGTAACTAAGTAATTAAACTTCAATTTGATGTAAAGTGGGCAATGTAAGAGATCGAGTTAATTAATTGAATGTTCAATGAACTTTACCTGACGTTACTCACTAATCGCTCGCCCAGGGGCGGACGCAAAACTTTAAAGTTAGGGGGGCACAATTGAACTTGCAAAGAAGTTGAGAGAAATTTTACAATAAAAAATTTACATCCAAAAAAATCATACCCCGTGTAATTTTGCATCCGAAAATTTACATGGGATATAACTTTTTCGTATGTAAAATTTCGAAATTTTTTAATGTTATATTTTAAATAAAATTTTCAAATAAATTTATGAAATTTATATTGAGAAATTTTAATGTTAATAAAATAATTGATTTTTAAAAAAAATGCGAGTTAGACGCCTTTCTTTAAGACTCACGTTTAATGAATTTTTAATTATTTTCGATATCTGTTTGGACTATTCGATATGCCCATAATGTAGTTCTCGAAATAAGTTTTGAGATGACATAGCAATTTGTAGATTCGATTAGCGTATGATCGTCGGGAAATTTTTAAAATTAGCATGTTATCGAAATTCAAATTTATTATGATTTTGCCTATATTTGGTGGAGATTAAAATCAAATTTTTAGCAAATTTTGATAAAATTTAAACAATTATGGATTACATGAAATATGTTGTTAAAATTAGTTGTTAACTTTGATTTAGATTAAAATTTAGATTTCAATCGATACCAAACATGACTTTAAAAAAAAAAAACAAAAAAATTCTCAAAAGTTGGGGGCACATGCCCCCGCCCCCCACCCAGGTCCGCCCATGTGCTCACCCACATTTACGAAAGTTACTCTTCCATCGCCCATATCAATTTTATCCGTCCATGTGGGCGAATGAAAATCCTACGTGACATTAACAGAGTTAAAACTAAACAACGTGGAATTAATTCCATCTTTCTCCATGCTTTATGCAAATTAATTAATAGTTGAAACTTTCCATAGCAAAATTTCAGCAATTTAATTTTGGAAAACAAGTATTTTAGAACCCAAAATCCAAAGCAGGGAACCCAAATGAAGAGATAATTTTATCCATTAATGGAGCCAAAAAAAAAGGTACGAGAATTCTCAGTACTAATCTTTTAGCTAGGTCTCGTGGGTCATTCTTGTTCCTCATACTCAAGGCACAATTTTGGCACTTTTGCGAGACTCGATTTAAACATGATTTTTGGTAGAGGGATTAGGTTCATATGAAATTTGGAGTTTAATGTGGAAAAGTTCGCTGAATTGGGGTTCAACGTTGGATGAAAATGGTTTGGGTTTGATTTGGGGAAGAATTGCTTGGAATTTGCTTCAGCAATTCGGGAGAGAATCGACTGGGCAAAGAAGCGAGCGTCCAAGCTATTATTGAACTTACACTTGAGAGGGAGGGGGACCATGCATGCACATTTTTGACACCAAGCTTTGGTCAATTTACTGAAAATCAAAGCATGTTTTGAAAGTATTTTAAAACAATTAAATTAAAAATAGATAAAAATAAGTAATGGATAAATGAATAGTATTGATAATTGTTAGATATTTAATGTAATTGGCAAGTCTGTGAACAAAAATGAATAAAGTTGATATGTCGTAAAAAGTCAAGGAGTAGTGTATAATTAATGAAAGTTGTAATATTTTAGGTCTAAAGTTTGAGAATTGAAAAGTAGGGAAAACGGCGCCAGAATATCGCTTGCTTATCGCCAAAGTTTGGCTCAAGCATTAGAAACAGAAACTGCATTGCCCACATGTAGTATCGCTTTCACTTGAGCGACAACCTATCGCTCAACTGTCGCTCACCCTTTGCTCGAGTAGCAGTGCTATCCAAGAATTTTTTTAATTCGTTTTTTAAAGATTTTTTGTCCGATCAATTCATTCACTAACCTACGTATAAACATTCAAATGCCACAGAACTTTTTTTTTTTCTAAGGTTGATCATCAAGCAAACACTTAGCTTTTCATATTCTCTTCATCAATTATTCTTCAACCTTCATTAATCACGTAGTGATATGTTCTTGGCAGTGAGAAAAACATCAGATTCAGAATCAAAATACCAAATTACTGCTTCCTTCAAATCTGTAAGAGTTCCTGAAGATTAAGGGAAGGTGACTGGTGTTTCAGTCGTTGAAGAATTTTTTTTTTTTTTTTTTTTTTGCATCCACAGGAGATAGAAGATTTCACAAAGGTAGGAGTTGCTGCAGGAGAGTGCAATCCAGAAGAGTTTTGGAAACTGCAGTTGGAAGTTGGTACATGAGCACAAAATGAGAGCCTTCTTAAAGCTTTGGATGAACGTATTTGGATTAGAATTCAAATTGGATGGACTCCACCTTCAACTACAGTTGCTGGTGTAGTTACGCCCACTGATATTTCATTATGGACTAGAACGAACTTAGATGAGTGTAACTGGAACAGTAAGGGTATTCGTGCCTTGTTCATGGCTGTGTCTGCTGAAGAGTTTAGGAGAGTTTCGATGTGTGAGACTGTTAAAAAAGTTTAGGACATCTTAAAAACCACACACGAGGGAACTAAAATGGTTAAAAATTCTAAATTGTAGATATTAATATTTAGGTTTGAAGAAATTAGAATGAAGGACGATGAATCGTTCGATGAATTTTTTGCGAAGCTGAATCACATAGTGAATTCGAGTTTTGACCCAAGTTAGAAGATTCATGAGTCCAAGATTATTAGAAAAGTCATTAAATCCCTACCTGAAAGGTTTAGACCTAAAATCACCGCGATTGAAGAAAGCAAGGACTTAAAAGCAGTTAAAATAGAAGAACTCGTATGATCCCTTCAAACCTATGAACTCACTGTTTCTCAAGCTAAAAAGGTTAAATCTATAGCCATAAATACGATTAGAGAAGAAAAAAGTGAGCCTACTGATGTTGAGACGCTTAGGGATTACAAAATAGCTTATTTCGTTAAAAAATTTTAGAAGGTAATGAAGAATAGGAGAAAGCTTCAAGAACGAAAAAATGAAATCCCTAATAGATTTTCGAAAGATAGACGTGAGAAAAATAACTCTAGAACTCCTATTAAGAAAACTCAATCTGTTAGATGCCATGAGTGTTAAGGTTACGATCACTATAGGAATGAATATCCTAACTTAAAAGAGAGTTCAAATAAAGAAAGACATAAGGCTTTAACAGTGACCTTGAGTGATGATGAATCAAATTCAAGTGCTCAGAGTGATACCTCTGGTAATGACGATGAACAAAACTTTATGGTCTTCACATCAATAGCTACGATTGAACCTGATAAGGAGATTGATAAGGTTGAAAGTGATAAAGATAGTGAAAAATCCGAGAAAGAATCTGAGGATGAACCTGATATTCTGATTGAATCTGATAAGGAGATTAATAAGGTGTGAAGTCATGAAGAAAGTGATAAATCTGAGGATGAACCTGATATTCACGAATCTTATCGTGAACTCTTTAAGGAGAGCCTTAAAATTAAAAAAAGTCAATAAAGTTGTACTGAAAAAGATAAATGATCTTGAAAGACAAAAAGAAAAACTCATAGGTGACCTTTAGAACTCTACCAAAAATCCGA